CTGCTCGGGCGCGACTAAGTACTTGGCCAAACACAATTTAATCTGTTGAGCAAACATGCTCCAGGTTGAGGGAAGGGTGGCTTGTTTAAGGAACGAACGCGAGTAATCGAGATAATCGTCGGAACGGGAGCACTTGGTCGACGGTGTGAAGGTGTTAACTTCGTTGAGTTATCGTCTGAATCGTTGCCATACTTAACGCTCAGGTTGCGATCAAATGCTTTCGAAATGCATTTGAAACTCGATGTTCGGAAATTTGTCGTTGTTCTTCGATTGATAAAATGGATGCTGGCCTTAGATTGAAGTTGTATATTTAACCCTTAACGGTACAAGCGCTCCTTTCTGAGACTGCTCTTAGATACATACATGCACAGAAACTGCAATAGAGATAATCTTGTACTCTCTCCCCCTCGTTACATTGTATGTGAAAGTATATACACTTTTTACATTTTTCTATGAATATAGGATTAGACGAATTCAATGAAAACAGTTTGCTTAAAGACAGAAGTAAAGAATTCACAAGGTTATCTCCCTGATTCAATCGTAAATGGTTCACGAAGGTAGTCGCATCTTCTATAAAACACTGTTTGAAATAAAAGGCATCCTACGATTAAACCTGTCGACAAACGTGATTAGTTGTTAATGAATTTCGATGTCGCTGGTGTTATGATAACATTATTCCCGAGGCGTGAGAAACACGTGACGTAATCCCGAAAGGTATGTCGTTCAGCGGTACGAAAGTACGAACGGATGTGGGGGCATGGTGGCAGTCGAAAAAATCATTCTCTCTATTCGAGATCCGCTTAGACTGATTTATAGCAAAGGAATGATGAGGCATTGCGCGATGTTAAACGCTGCCTTTATGACCCGCTGCTGATCCTCTAACGCTGACTTTGATTGCGCATCATTAATCAGCGGGGTAGCTCGCATCTCTCGCTACCTCACCTGCAACGAAGGTGAACACTGTCTAAATCGAGCCTCCCTTCGTTCCAGTTGCGCCACTTCGGGCCTCGTGTAAAACCTTGAAACGCTATTACAAGATAAATTAAAAATGACAAAGGGATAGATGATAATAACAGGGTATAATACCCTTGTGTCGCTCAAGAGGAAATTAAATCTCGTATAGAGGTGTGCAACCAAAGCTCGTGAATATTTGCGTTTGTTGATTGAAAATTTACATTGCCCTGTATTCGATTAGCATTTAATTTAATTAAACTGAGTAAATTTTTAAAGCATGTTTTTTGTCCTTTTTTAATTTCTCATGATGTGAACACATTACAAATTGAACTTAGACATGTAAACTATTTGTCATTTGCAAGCGTATGATTTTTTTTTTTTTAATGAAATTGGCTGGAAATACAGCAGGCTGGCGTATTTTACAATTTTGTGTAATATAAAGTATAGAGTGATTATAGGAATCCATTAATTTAAGGAATGAAGATTTATAGAACTACTTTGAGTTCAATTTTATGTAGGTATTTCTAAGAAATCTTTTTTCCTTAATATTCAATGGTATATTATTATAAAAGAAAATTTTTATGGAAGCATTGTTGTGTACACTTTTATTATTACATTATAGCATTGAATTCAAACACAAGAAACAAGTAAATCTGCAGACAGGCAGTGAAAAACAAATCGATAGTTATACATGCATAGATGCGAGCAGATAAACAGCACCAGGGAAAAAGGATCGTGGGCTCAATGGGTGGAGAAGAGGGTTCATTAATCGCGTGTCATCGATCGAGCTCTTTCCCGTCGGTGGAACATTCTCTGAAGTCGCGGAAAAGTACGAACTCGGAAAATTGCGTATTTCCTTCAATAATTGAGTTGCTTTACGCGACTTGTTTGGGTCTTGCAAGTCGTCTTTGCGAAAGAAATATAATGACCAAAGTATTAAACAGGAAGGAAACAAGAATCAGAGAAAGAATACCGAGTCCCCATGGCTCTCAAGGAGAGCTTATTTGATTACGATTTCCTTTGCAACAAGTTCGCATTGGGAAAAAGTAGCCTTCCTTTCGTTATTATTGTGCATGGAATCCTTTGATCGGACAGCGTTTCCTCGTCTCTGCGAGAAATTATTCCGTGGAATAAAGTTTCCTCGGTTTCTTCGATTTAATTATGTTTCTCGATATTTTGAAACGAATTCGAAAGCAACATTACAAGTAATGAGACGGATAGTTCTGTATGTTGCTTAGTCACTCGTATTACAAATTGACCACCTCGTTGAATCTATCGAGAAAATAATTCATGAAACATTAACATCACAGCAAAATCATGTTCACCATCATGGTTTAAATAATAAGTATTGTTAATAATTAATGTGACTATTGTCAGAATGAATTTTTACATACAAATGACTTTTTCTGAAAACTAGTTATGTTCCTGATAATCTAAATCTAATCTCACTTTACACTTTACACTTTACACTTTATACTTTGTACTTTGCACTTTACACGTTTTATATCTAAAGATCTTATTACAAGTTCGCAGCCATTAGCTCGATATTAATCACGACGAAGGATTGTTCGTCACGAATAATATTGATTACCAGGTCTCAGCACGTAGAGGTTGCTGCGACTGGAGACCCGGAGGTAGAAAGAATCAAAGTTCCTTCGATCTCCCTCTACGTAGAGTATAGATACATAGAGATGCATACTCTAGATAGAGTCGACGAGCTTAATACTAAGTACGAAACGATGAAAATCAAAGGAAAACAAAATTCCCTTCGATTTCCAAAGTCTAAGTTTGACTCTGTCAAATAATTATTTGAACTAAATTGAAGCTAAATGGGAATCACGAAACGACGCGACCATGTAACTGGACTTACAGAGTCAGTCCTGTTTCCTCCGGTGGGTCTGATTCGAGAGAAAGACGATCAACGTCTCCGCCAGTACTCTACTCCCTGCATACCTGCTGCCGAGGGCCCAGATTCGACCTTACAGTGTACGACGTAGGTAGCACTGCGTCGGGTTGCCCTGCCCTGGCGACACTAGGTATGTCTGACGGTCGTAGAGTCCGAAACGGAGTTCTACTCTCTGCACATCGTCAGGAGTCTAGGACACGACTTGCATCCGTCTAATTGCGCTTTCGACTTACTGCGCTGCGCCGGGAGCCTGGACTTCGCCTGACGCGTACAGAGACTAGAAGATTCCTCGGAGGCGTCGATCGACCCTCTCTCAAATCAGACCCACTAGAGGACGGCAACCGATCTCGGCCAGTCACATGGTTGGTCATTCTGCTTATAGCATCAAGCAGTAGCGACCGATGTGAAGAACGAAGTTGCGAGTTCAATATGGACTTAGGAACAAACAAAAGAATTGAATAAATGATTAATAATCATTTGACAGAGGACAGACACTCGTACACGCATGCCTTAAAACTAACTTAGGTACATGCCTTAAAACTAACCAAACCAAAGTAAGGTACCCACAAGTAACTAAGGGAAACTACACAAGGAAAAATAGGGGGGCGGCGAGACGCGGACGCGCGATCGCGAGATCCATAACGACCGAAGGATCGTCGAAGAATGAGAACGCACTCCTCGTATACCTGTGTCGAGGGTCGCGGTTCGCACGTGCGTCTCGAAATAGAGAAGGGGAAGGGCGAACAACAACCGCGTGATGTGTCGATTCGAAGGCTCGTTGAATCCATCGAGAAAATAATTCGTGGAACATTAATATCATTATAATAAAACATTTTGTCGAGATCTCGACGAGAATTTGAAATAATCTTGATCTTGCCCAAATCTCGGTATGCTAAATCTCGATATCCATCTCGAATGTTACAAGTAATCTCGATCTCGAATCTCATCTCGAAATCGAGACGAGATCGAGATTTATCTCGTCTCGTGCGCATCGCTACCTTTCCCTTTGCAACTACCACGTCTCTGCATCCTCTACGCTAAACCATTCCCAAAACCAACCAAACGTCGTACTCAAAAATTGATTTTCTCGCGTAACGGGACCAAGTATTGTTTAAAAAAGGCCCAAGAATTCTAGAGACTGGATTCTCGAGCACAATCGCTCCTCGTCTTTCATCGCCTCCCCGTTACTGCTTGTCTTCTTTGTGCTGCACCGCGCCTCCTCGAGTGTATATCGGCCGGTGGAAACAACTCGCCGCCTTTACGATCTCTTATATCGCGCCACCTGCTGGTTCGCGTTGCGCAATCGCACGCGTTGAACTTCGGAGGACCGATTCACGGCGATAATAACGGCGGCGGGACGTGTCGGTCCGCGTTGTTGAGCGCGCGGGCTCGTGCTGCACGCGGTAATCACACAGGCATTGAGGACCGGAGGGGTACGCGAACGCACAATGCGCGCCTCGGAAGAATTGCTGCTGCTTCGTCCACGGCATCCCGAAATGATTAATGTGCCGCTGTAGATCCGCGCCTCACGTCTTAATTCCGCGACATAATGGCCTTAACGATTTTTGTGCCACGAGCGCCGTGCACGCAGGACGAGCGCCGCGCTTTCTGGCTCCGCGCATCTCTCCACGAGAAGAAAGCGAAGGCGTGCTTGTTCGTTAGCCACCTCTTGTCGATCGGACATCGTCGCGGTTACGCTGCGAGATTTGGGCGCTGGCCATTGAAAGCTGAGACTACCGTACTCCTTTATTTTCCTCCTGCTCTCTATCCTCTTATTAGGTTGTGTTTAATAAGAAGAGGAATAATTATCGTCCATACCTGAAATCTGAAATGAGTTATTCTGAGTTTATCAAGTCGTCCCACGAGGAACGCAATTTTTCGAGAAATTTAGGACGAAGTCTTCGTAAACACATCGCCGCGATGCAGGCCAGATGTTTATTTACCAGTAACATAAGAGACGACGTTAGTTATGGGATGACCCGATAGTTGAACTACCATCAATCAAGTCCAAATAAGCGACCAAGAGCAGTTGAACCGCTGTACCAACGAGGAAACGGAGTCTACGAGCGTCTACCTATCCACCTGGTGCTCAGAAATACTATTTTACCTGTCAGCCACGCAACACGTGAAAACGAACTGCGTGACAACGTCAAGCATGTCACGTACCGCAGCTCCTATAAGCGTCGAGCGAACGTTCTAAATTCCTGGTAATTCGATGGCTGAATCGATTCCGCGAGGATGAAAGGGGAACGAACTTCCCCGTGCGGACAATTCCAAATGAATCAGCGCTGCTCTAAGGAAACTGGACCACGCGTAGCCAGGGAACGCGAGGAAAGAACGCGCGCGGCATCGATAATCGAACGAGGGTAGCCGATATCCGCTGAACGTTTCGACAAACGGCGATAGGACGTTGACAAGCCGCGAATCGATGTGCACAAAGGTGGTTCTCCGTTTGCCGATGGAAAGGTAGCCACATTGTTGGACGGTGAGAGGAATGCGACCCGATTCCCCGTTACGCGAAACCGATCGACTTTAACGAGGTTCGCTGTGCGCGATGTCACTTTCGATGAGAGGTTATTATCCGTGTACGGATCTACCTTTTTACTCGAACTCGCGGAAGGCTCGGTGTAATTGTTAGCTTGATTACCGGAGAAAGTTAGATGAGGAATCGATCGAGCGCAGTAAGGATTTCTTGGGAACGAATATTTGAATCAACGAGCAACATATTTTCGATGGCGGTACTAGTAATGTTGGAAATGGAGTATAATGAAAAATTAAATACTAATTTTATTGATTAAAAGTCGTGATTTTATTTCTAAATGTCGCGAATAAGCTGAGATTTTTTTCTCTACAAGGAGCTGATCGAGACTAACAGAGAAACGCTACAAATAAGAAAAGTTAGAAAGAATTTGCTCTTGGAAATCATAGGAAGAGTCCTCAAATGCACTTGAGAGAGCTGGCCATATTCTGAACTTTCTCTTTCCTTATATTGCAATGACAGATATACACATTGCACATACATTCCTACTAAATTTATTTTTTTGTAGTAAAATAAAAGGTTTTAATTAAAAGTAAAAATAAGGTTTTAAACCTAGAGTTGTAATTTGTCACTACATTACCGATACATAATCCACTATAACTTTCTTAACTCTTCACTTTTCACTGAATCTTGTGATTTTTCTCGTGCTCCAAACGATAAAAGGGAAAAGGTTAGAAAGAGCCAAGAGAGAACTATTAATTCTGGAAAAACAGAAGATTCGCAAACCCAATCGCACGCGATGGCCAAGAGTCGCATACCTTTTACTTTGCCTAGGTGCTGTATTTTAAGAACTTACCCTGGACTCGTTACATTCCAGTGATTTCAAATCCTAGATATCTATTTGGGACGTTTGGCTAGACGTTAGATTGAAACATAAGGGACCAAGGTATGCTCGATCCTAGACCGATACGAAGATCGGGGTACGCGATCGCGGTTTGTCTCCTCCGGCCGAAGGATGATCAAGCGCAGCAACAAAGAACAATGGCGCACGGTGGCCACCACGGATAGTCCGTCATTGTTCCGTCCTGGGAGCTCGTTCCGAGTCCACCCAGGACGTTTTGACCCCGCAGCGAGATAAGAGGAGTCGGCTCCCTTTGATTCCATAGAGGCAGGGGGAGCCGATGTGGATCATCGGACAGAGGGTCCCGAAGACGATCCGGCCGAGTTACAAATGGACCTTTCGATTCGGTCATTTACCGGGATGGACACTCGCTTGCAGGTACAGATACCGCTTCGAAGCAGCGATTGGGAATCTCGAACCGTTCGATTCGATTTCGTTGTGACGGTTACGCGGATTGCTCTTTGTATTTCTTGACTTGTTAACACTGAACCTACTGTGGCCCTTTAACTGGGAATTGTGAAATGAAACGTATGTAAACATTACAAATAGTTTTAATATTCAAAGTAATTAGAATATTCACAGTTTTGGTAACATATTGGGTCGACGTATTATTATTCGCCGATTTCTTTCGTACAATTCTATAATTTTAAATTGGTGTTACTTTTTCGTTTGAGACAGAATTTTTTTCAACGATAGTTCGTCAACGGGTGTGTCGATAAATATTTGTATCGTATCACGCTCTACTGTGAGAAAGAATGGACCTAGTCATTCTGTGATCTGAACGATTTTTTTTGTCAGATGAACTGAAGCTGACCGTTAGATTTGAAGAAGTTGTGTAGTCATTTTGTAAAAATTGAGGTAGAAACGAGGTATAAATGAATGCCTAGGTGTTGTATTTTAAGAAGTTGATTCGATAGTTGTCGTTTTCTTGCTACAAACAGTTACAGACTCAACGGCCGAAAAAATCGGCGATCGAAGCTTCCGTACGCAGGATTTCTCTCTCACGACGGCGTTCCCTCGTCGGAATCGCCGTCGTCATCGCGCAGGTCCTGGCGACCAGGAATGATCGAGCAAATCCTGGGTGGATGTCAACGGGTCCCGCCATAGGTCCTCCTCCTCGACGCCTCTCTCCGTGTTCGGGCACGGTGAAAGAGCAAGGAAAAGAAACGAATCCATCGACGGCAGAAGCGTCATGAGTCATCGTCCAGTCATCCTTAAACTGCCTTTTAATATCTCCGGCTGCAATCCGTGGTGACACGAAAGGAGGTGAGAGGGCACACACGGTCGATTGTGGGGACGACTACCTGCTCGCTTGGCGCTCCGTGCGCGAGTCTCGGCGTTCACATCGTGAAAGAAAAGGAGCCATGGCGGAGAGGAGGATCCAGGCGGAGGAAAGTCGACAGTAACCCGGCGGTTTAATAGTCGGAGGCTCGAAGCTATTACTCGGCGAATTCTTTCCAACGGCCCTGGTTCCTGGCTGTAATCCAGCGATCGGTCACCAGTCATCGCTATGTCCTACCGTCTTGCCACCGTCGGAAAGTTCTTCGGGTGTAGAGGATATCATAGTTTCAGGGGAAGTGTTGATCGAGGAAATGTTGAGGTGATGGCACACTTAGAATACGATTGATAGTCAAGAGACTCTTTTAGGCTGGAAGAATGGAAAAATGGCGTTGAATATGTTCGCTGTGCAACTTTCGAGTTAGGTTAAGGTTTTAATATCGAGGATGAGGTTTAATATTGAGGGGTTAGCTTGATTTAGGACAATTCTTGAGGACCATAGTCTGGATTATAGTCTAGATATTACAGTTTCAGAGGAACGGTTAATCGAAGAAACGTTAAAGTGATCGGACATTCGGAATACGATTGATATAGTCAAGGGACTTATTCATTTGGGATGGAGGTTAAAATTGAGAGTTGAAACGTCAATACGTTCACCAAACGGGATGAAAATAAATATGCTTACTATGAAATGTTTCGACCCCGATTGATCGTTGAAAGGAGTACAGTGGATATGAAGACAAATAAACAACAAACATAAATATATTGTGCAAATAAAGTTACAAACATCGAGAGCCTAATTACAATACCCAATATTAAATAAATGTAGTTACAGTTACTAAGAAGTTTGTGACTTTTTTCACAATCAATCCACGCAAGATAGGTGTCCTAATAGTTATGGCCGGCAGCGTACGTACGCAACAGCGACACATTAGACGCGCACACGCGATGCACCGCACTATAATTGAACTTATCCCCGTGTATCATTAAGGTGTGACTTGTTCTTTTTCTTCGTCCCGCGGTTCGTTTCCACGGCGTCCGTCAATTACCAATCGCGCATTCCGGGAAACGAACAGCGGTAGGACCCACACAGCCGACGGAAGGACTTTTGGAAATGAAGGCTGCCTCGCCATTTTATCTTCACGCACGCAACAACGATTTCGAACGTGATCGCTTCGGGGGCCCGTGCAGCAATGATCGGTAAACAAACCACCACGCCGCGCAGCCGAAACGGACGAACGCTCGGTCTCTCGCCAGAAGTTTTTGGAAAATACGTAGATAGGTCTCCGTAGGCGATGGACCGAGTTGCAACAATGTTGGGGATAAGAATAGGGTGCGTCTGTGAAATTGACGAGACCGAATTGGTAGAGTGTCGGGAGGCCTTTCGATCCCTCTGGCTGCAATTCGTGATGTGGGTCACGGTTTCTTTTGCCGTCGATTATGTCTAATCCCTCCAGTTTCCGGAACTGTCGTTCGTGACTCGCGATTTGCGTCAACTGCTGGTGAAATACGTTCACCTAATAGTGGAGTATCACCAAATACGTTACAGAATGTAAGACAATCGTTCCTTTTCCGTTTCAGGGAATATTGTGATGGAAATGGTCGTCGCACTGAACCATTTCTGTAAATCAAGTTATTACAACAGTGACAAGAGAGCCATGATATCGTAACAATACTAAAATTAAAATATCTCTTGAACTAATGACTTTTAAACATAAATAGGTTAGTACATTTTTTACAGAATATCAAATTGCATTGACGGACGCAGTGAAAAGTATATAATTCCATTTTTTAAAAACGTTAGCGACCCCCATTCGTCCTCTACGCATTCATCTATAAAGAAAAAAACTAATAACGTCAGAGTATCCCCCAGAATATCCACTCTGTTTAATCGATTAACGTGAATGCCCTTTTTGAGAAAAGTACATTCTTTTTAATATCACGACTGTATCGGACGATCCACTACCGTTCAAACTTCCTCGAGTCACTATTCACCGGCGTCCTCGTCCACCGTTCCTCAGGACCTCGTTGCAGGTCGATTCCGAACGCGAGTCTGGTAGCCGCGACACGCAGCAACGTCGAGATTCCATGGAAACCCGATCGGAATTACCACCGGGTGTATAAATAATCGCCTACGAACCCGAACAGGCTATTTACCATGCCGATTCTTCTCGGATCGTTTAACCATGCTCGTTCCTGCTTCCCGCCATCAATATTAACCGTCGAACACTCGAAGCTAGTGCGCCCCGTACGTTTCCATACGACTATTCCTCCACACACACACACACAAACACCCTCCCCCTCCCCTCTCCCTCTCTCTGCTCACAAACCGCGCAAAAGGGCTACACACGCACATCCGCGTACACCGTCGCGTTTATGTACACAGAGCCCCGGTTCGCGTGTACCTGTACACGCTCACCCCTGTCAGCATCCTCGCAAAGAGGAATATTTAGTGATAGTCGCCCGAAGCAAGAGCAACGGACGTT